TCGAGAAGAGCCAGCCTCGCGCACTTTCGAGCGCGTATTTTTGGCCGACGATAATCGATAAACGGCCCGCAGAATCCGCCGAGAAATTATTGTCTATCGGGGCAAACGGCCGACTCGAGTATCGCGGGAACGATCGAACTCTCGACTCCCGTTCGCCGGGAATCGAGCGCGTCCCTTCGGACAGCGAGGAAAACGCGGTGGCCGTCGACGCGGGGCGCTCGGAAAATCGGTAGGGAAGAAACGTCGCGAACGAGCGGCGTTCGGTCAAAACTTTTGCGCGACCGATCGACGCCGTTCTTTCTCCCCGACGAGATTAATACGCGGCGCCTGCACTCGTCCGGCCACGCGATTCCTCGTCGTCGTCCTCGACCGTGCGTGCTCGCTCTTTCTCTCCCTCTTCGTTTGGCCGTCGTTCAAGCTCGATTCATGAACCCCGGCGTTCGTCGGAAGAGAAAGCGTTCGGACAAATTCGTCGATGCGTAACAAGCGATACGATTGTCCGCGTTTCACGGTTGGCTTCGAAGCGTTCGTCGCGGTGGAAACGTCGCCGAGCTAGGTCGGTGGAAGGCAGCAACAGTTGCAACGTACCTGACGAGGTCAAGGAACCGGAGCGGTTACGTTGGCTCGCCGACGACGTTCGCCTCGCGGGTAATCGAGATCGATCGATCGACGAGCCGCACGCTCCTAACCTAATTGCGATCGAGCATGATCGGTGGCGGTGGTCAGCGGACTCGAACCGCCGCTCGATCGACGTCGATCCTCGTGAATTCCTGGAACGCTAGACGCGCGGCATACCTTTGGACGGTTCAGGAGGCCAAACCTCGTTCGGGTTTTGGTCAATTTCGTTCCTCCGCGGGGCGTTTTCGACTCGCGTGGTCGACCGTTCGTATCGTAGGCAGGGAACGTTGAACTTGCAACCGCGTTCGGGTTATTTTCGTCGCGTTAATCGGGACGAATTTACCGGTCGTTCTCGTTACGCGTCGCCAGAAGAGGAACGCGCTCCAATTTGCCGATGCGACCGATGGAAAAAGACACGGGATTCCGTTCGCGGCGAGGAAACTCGGGAAAAGGCGATCGATCGACTACTCGTCGTTGATGGGTTAGTCGCGCGAGTACGGTAGATACACGCAGGTATTTGCGGTTCGCCCGAACGGAATCTTATCTGCGGCGACGAATTATCGAACGGTCGTACGTCAGATTAGATTTCTCGTCGCAGCGGCGAACACGGGGCGTCGTTGATACGTTTGTTCGCGCGCTAGCCGCTTATTCTGAAAATAAACGCGTTCGAGAATCTTGCGGCGCGGCGTGGTCGCCAGTGCTGCACGCATCGTCGCGCGCGACGCTTCGTGGTTTACTCGGGGAAAAAGTTGATCCCGCGTACGTACGCGAGTTTTTAGAATTTTTCGCAGCGATCGCTTTCGCTGCTTTCCCGAGTCAGCGGTTAGTCGGAAAGTCAGGTTTATTCGACTCGGAAAGATCGGTCTCGCGGCCCTTCCCGTACGCTTTCGACGGTTAATCACGGACCGAGTGTTCGGTCGGAAGCTTTTAACGAATTTCGATACGAGCCGCCGATCGATCGGTGGCGCGAAATTTCCCTCGTCTCGGGCGTCTCGCGAACGATCGTCTTCGAGCGCGTCGTATCGGGCGTCGAGTGCACGCGTCGCGATTGATCCGACCACCGGGCAATTCGGGAAGGAAAAGCGTTAATTATCGCGTGCCGAGCGGAGGAATCGAGCGAGCGGATAGTGCGCACGGTGCACCGGAATTCGCGAAGCTCGTTCGTTAATTGGACGGAGCGGAGTAACGGACAGTCGTTCGCGACCTACTTTCGCTTCCGAGCTTCCATCCTCGCGTTTCGATTAAACGCGAGGGAGTCGGCCGTCCTAATCGCGAACGTTCGAGTCGAAAGAATCGGCGAGTATCTCGACGAGCGCCGAGAGGGAACACATCGTCGAAGTATTTCCGGCGAGTTTCGCGGACGCCGTTATTCTCGGCCACGAGTTTTCTTCGAGCGGGTCGCGCAGGAGAATAAAAGCCCCGACGACGAGAGAGAAGAAAGGATTCTGAGGGAGCGTTTGTCTGTTTTGTTTCAGGTGGGTCCGGCAGGGGGGAGGGTGAGGCAGGCTCGAACGAAATTCCAGGTGGTAGAAGAGGAGGTGGCGGTGGCGGCGGTATCGGAGTCGGCGGCGGAGGAAG